GAAGGGGAGGAGAGATAGAAGGGAAGGCGGACTATGTATTTAGAATGCATGCCGTCTTGGGGTGGGGGGAGGGGCGAGATGGGGTGAAAATTTGGAACTCAAAATCTTGTGGAAGTAAATGTTGAAAACAAAAAAATAAATAAAAATTACCATTAAAAGAATCATCTGTCGAATAGTTCACTTATTTAAAGTAAGAACTGTTGGTATTATATCATTTAATTCTCACATCCCTGAGAAGTAGGTGATATTGTCCCCATTTTTTTTAGTGAGGAAACTGAGGCTGTAAGGTTAAGTGACTTGCCCTGCACTAATAAGTGACTAGCCACCTAGCTATAGCAAATATCTAAGACAGGATTTGAATTCACATCTTCCTGACTCCAAGTCCAGCAGCACTCCATCCATTATGCCAACTAAATGCCTAATAATCCAGTTCTGGTTTTACTGTTGGGTTTTTTTAATTAATCATCATAACACTATGGAAGCCAACAAAAATGTGTAACTGGGCCAATGATATTATTGAGTCAGTTTTTGAGAATTTTTTTTACATTTTTCATAATAAAATTTATCCTTTTGATTTCTGATCATATATTGGATTTGCATGGACATTATGATATTGAACTCATTTCTTCAAAATGGATGTGAAATGACAACAGGAAACTCAAGTACAAAACTCAGCAGGAAATAGAAATGTATAACAGAAACTCAGGTGAGTATCAAGGTTACAGACAAATGTCTGAGAGATGATTGTATAGCAATAATAAGTAGATCTATAGAAATGTATAAAGTCATCAAGTATTTATTATATAAGGAAAAGGATGGTCACAATATCTTGTAAAGGAGAGAAAAAAAATCAATAAAGAAGAAGGCTTCCAATATGCAATGAAATCAAAGGAAGGCTAGAATAGTAGCAAACAGTATCAGATGTTTCAGAAAAGTAAATGAGATTTTTAAAAAGACACTAAGGTTTAATGATTGCCAAGGGCATTACTGATGTAAACTATATGAATGGGATGTACTCATTCATAAGAATATCATAGAACGGATCAGAAAATAGAATTTAACAAAATCAATTTATAATAACAAGAATCAATAATCCAGTAATGACAGTATCAATAATCTCACAAAGTTAAAATAAAGAACTGGAATAAAAAATGTATCCATACTTCAGCTGAAACAAAACAGGCATGCATAGCTATCATAATCTCAGACAAAGCAACAGCAAGAAATAAAACTTAATTAAGAAAGATAGAGAAACTAACTTTGATAAATGAAACGATCAACTATGATTCTAGAGGATTCATGATCAAACATGCTACCCACCTTGATAGAAAGATGATGAGCTCATATTTTGAAAGGAGGGGTAATTAAAAATTTTTATTTTCCTTTACTATGCATATTACAAGAGTTTTGTTTTTCTTTCTTTGTCAAGGGTGGGGGGAGGGGAAGGTAGGAAGGACAGAAAATTAAGTTTCTGTTCATTAGAAGAATTAATTTTAAAAAAAAGGAAGAGAATGATTACAGATTTGTGCTTTAGAAATAATTTAACAGCTGTTATGTGGAAGACAAATTGAATAAAGGCAAGACTGAAGGCTAAGAGATCAATTAGGATGCCAATACAATAGTCCAAGTGAGAAAAGATCAAACCTGAATAGAGAGGAAACAGATTCATTTCAAGGGAGTGAATGTGTGTGTATGCCTGCATGCATGTGTATGTATACACACACACACATACATGCACACACACACACACGCATGCATATTTAACACATACATACACACGCAGGAAGAGGCCAGGATATCTCCAAGGTTGTAAATGTGGGTAACTGAAAGATTAGTGGTGCTCTTAACAGAAAGGGCAAAGCAGAAGGCAAGAAGACTTAAAATATGAAAAAAGAAGAGATAAGGAGTTCTGGATTGGATACTTTTGAAATATCTTTAAGAAATCCAGTTAGAAAGGACCAACACAACTGGTGATAAAGGGCTATAGAGTTCAGGAGAAAGTCATGGGCAAGATATGTACCAAATTTAGTTGATAGGTTGGTCAGTTTCAACTGCTACTTTTCAGTTAACTTTTTCTTGTCACTCTTACAAAACAAGGTACCCTGAGCAAGAAAAAAGGGTAAAATATATCCAGAAATGAAGACCATATAAAAATAAAAAAAAACAATTTATAAAAGGTCATTGGTGTACCTTTGGAGAAAACAAGGTTTCTGTTTAGGAATGAGGAGAAACAAAATTGTAAGGTGCACGTGTGAACTGAAAAAATAGAAGCAACAAGGGTAGTTTTTTCTAGGAATTTTGCTGTGAAACAAAAGACAGTAGATAGTATCTTTAAGGAATAGTCGGGTTGCCACTTTTTAACAAATGGTTTTTTATGGAGGACAAAAGGTCTTAAATATGAAAATAAATACACTTGCTATAATAATTAAAATTAATCTCACTATATAACACCAGCACCTGCTATATGGACATATTAAAATCAATATCATAAATTTATACACTGTTAAACAATTCACATAGATCTTTTTGTATTGTATAATTGTATTTTCAAAAAAATAGCTTACTAGTTTCAAGAATTCTCAGTGAATCATTTTAAAAATTAAAAAATCCTTTTATACAGCAAATAATTACACCTAATTGATTTGTAAATCCTAATTTCTATAGTTCTTTCAAGAACTAAAGTACATCTGTAGTATTCTTAGCTGAAACGCTTTATGAAAATCATTCCAATTACAACAATTAGATTTTCACCTCTATTTACAAAAAGAAATTAAGTGACTCCAATAATTACTTAAAAATAAAACCGTTATTAATTCATAATTCCGTACATGACTCAAGAGATAAAAAAATAACAATGCCAAGCTTTACAAGGGAATTTCTTCACAAGAACTATACAAGGTCATTAGTGAGTTATTATCCTCCCTACCTTATGGATGGGGAAACTGAGGCTCTAAGAGGTTAAATGAAAGGCCCAGACTAACAAATCTAACGTGGTAGAGCAAAAGATTTCACTACTAAACTTAGTGTTCACAATTCAAGACTAAATCTATGTAGACAAAATGTTTACTCAAAAACAAGTTTAGGAAAGTAAATTTAGGTATGAATAAATTGTTTTAAAGCCTCCAATTTCTAATTATTATTTGGTACTTTTCCATGAGTAATGAAGCATGTAAATACAAGGGAGGGATTCTCCTTTAAGAAGAATTATCAGAAACATGATCAATAATTAAATGATAACAAGGCATATGGAAGTTATAGTTATTCTCTCTGTTCTCGCACCTCAAAGCAAAGCTGAAACACATAATCAAAGGATCATAGTTCTAGAGCAGAAAGGAACCTCAGATTACCTAACCAGATATCCTCTTTTTGCAGATCAGTATGAGGCCCCAGAAGGTTTAGTCGCTTGCCCAAGGATCACTAGGTAGTAAGCATCAGAAATAAGACCTAAGGTCAAGCCCTCTGACTCTACAGGTAGGGGCTTTCCATAGTACCACAAAGAGAGATCTCATATTAGAAAGTGGCTGTATGAAGCTAAAATGTGAAATGTATGCACAGTAGTTTCAAAAAGGAGATGTAGAAAATAATCAATAAACAGATATGGGCCAGACAAAAACCTAATAAAGTAAACTTTTCCCTTATCACAGAATCTAAGAATCTGAAGGGACCTCAGGTTCATCTGCGAACTAAGACCCAAACAAGAATCCTCGGCCTCAAACCAGCATGCAATTAGCCAGCCTCAGCCTGAAGACCTCCAGAGCCAAACATGACAAAACAAGAAAATGATAAGTGTTGGAGAAGATGTGGGAAAATTCAACACTAATGCATTGTTGGTGGAGTTGTGAAACGATCCAACCATTTTGGAGAGCAATTTGGAACTATGCCCAAAGGGCTATAAAAATGTGTATACTCTTTGACCCAGCAACAGCACTCCTAGGGCTATATCCCAGAGAGATTATATAAATGGGAAAAGGACCTACGTGTACAAAAATATTTATAGCACCTCTTTTTGTAGTGGCAAATTGTGAACTACAAATTCAAAGAATGCCCATCAACTGGAGAATGGCTGAAAAAGTTATGGTAGATGAATGTAATGAAATACTATTGTGCTATAAGAAATGATGAACAGGCTGACTTCAGAAAAACCTGGAAAGACTTGTATGGTCTGATGCTGAGTGAAATGAGCAGAACCAGGAGAACACTGTACATAAGAGCAGCTACACTGTGTAATGACTAATATTGATAGACTTAACCCTTCTCAGCAATACAAGGATCTAAGACATCTCCAAAGGCCTCATGACGGAAAATGCTATCCACATCCAAAGAAAGAACTATGGAGTTTGAATGCAGATCGAAGCATATTATTTGCTTTTTTTTTTCTTCTGTTATGTTCTGTTTCCTCTTTCTGGTGGTTCCTCCTATTGGTTCTAATTCCTACCTACAACATTACTAATGTGAAAATATTTTTAATAGGAATATATATGTATAGCCTATATCAGATTGCACATCATCTTGGGGAGGAAGATGACAAGGGAGGGGGGGGAATTTAAAACTCAAAAGCTTATGGAACTGATTGTTAATAATTCAAAATAAATTAATTGAAAATTTAAAAAATAAAAATAAAAAATAAGACCTCCAGGGCCAGTCACTGGTATCTTTTCCCTCCCAAAAGTTCTTAAACACAAATGTATGCTTTCCTTTCCCTTTCCTTACTCACTGTTCATTTCAGCCAGTAAAGGCAAATGGGAAGCAAATGTTTTAACTTTACCTGCCCAAAAGAAGCTATTAAAGAGTTAAATATAAACTCCATTACTTAAAGAATCCCAAATAATCTATCTCAACATCTGTAAAATGAGATGGTTAGACTAGATGACCAGTGAGGTGCCCTCCAGCTTTAGAACAATGATATTATGATTTACATGCCTTCAAATTACTGAAAACCATACTCAAAATACAGTCATTCAATATCAAGCATACTGGATCAAGTCAGAAATCCTACTTACCTCTCTTAACTCTGGCCAGTTTACCAGGAGAAGTTTAGCTGGTGGTCCTGAAATTAGCTGTACCCGGAGAAAGTCCGAAAACTCACGCCACGCAAAGCAGAGCTCCTTGCTTCCAGGAGGACCTGGGTTAAATTTTATGCCTTTTATAATTATAGTCTGTGTGCTGTCCTAATAATAAAGATAAGTTAAAAAAAGAAAAATGTGCTTAAAGTCTTTTTTAACTCAAAGGAATTAATTATTTCTTATTTAGACTTCAATTAAAACTTAACAGTAAGTATCTTTTCAGCACTATGCTCGACACAAAAAGAGACATGGTCCCAAAGCCTTCAGAGACCGTACCAATGTATTTAAAAATACATTCATTTACTATTTATTAAGCTTGAATCATGTAGAATTCCCTGTGGTAGACACTAAAAAATAATAAAATTAAATGTTAAACCAAAAGGTACTAATTATAAGAGCAACAGGAATCTAATCAGTCAAATAGCACTTTTTAAGTGTCTATTATGTACCAGGCACTGTACTAAGTGTTAGGATCCAGAGAAGGGAGAAAGGAGCATTGTCTGAAGTAGTCAGAGACAACTTGATCCATAGTGGATTAGTAGAATTTAGACATTTCAGGTAAGGAATAGCATTATCAAAAACTGTTCAGTCGACTTAATTAAAAGCATGCGCTGTGCAGAGGAAAAACAAGTGGTTACTGGAGAATATCGAAAAATAAATTTGAATAAATAGATTGAGGCCTTGAAAGCCAGGTAGTGTAGTTAGAACTTTACAAAGTAGACAATAAAGAACCATTGGGAGCTGCTGAAGGGACATATAACAAATGAAGATGGAATTTTAGAAAGAATACTGTGTGTTCCATATCCATAGTCTCCTACCACTGGCAAAGTAAGGCCAGTCAACGATTCTATTATTTGAATTCTAAAAGTTTACCACTAGTGACAAATGGCATCAAGGTTTTCCACAGTTATTTGTCTCAATAAGATAACCAATTTCCTTATTTTTAAAATAATTTCAAATCATGCATTATTGCACAGCTATATTCTTCCATTCCCCATCATATATAAATCTTTAAAAATATATGGCCAGAGAAAACCTACCTGATAATCCATTTTCAAATGTGTTCTCATTTGAAAAAAGGATCAAATGCCCAGGTGCCACTTTCTAAACTATATCCATTTTTCATAATGTGAAATAAATCAAATACAAATATTTTAGAAAGTCAGTCTTACCTGCCAACTAATTTTCAAACTGGATTTATCAAGTCCATTTCCAGAAATTCCCAAAGAAGTTAAACAACTTGATGTGAACGTCTGTATCTGATTTCCATACTGATCTGTAATTATTACCTCTTTAAAAACAAAAGGAAAATGTTTTGCATTGACATGATTATTTTAATGAAATCATTTCTAAAAAGTTACCCATTCTGACACAAACTGAATATGATAAGAATAAGAATTGAGACTGGACCTGTAATTTCATTAACATATATAGAACTCCCCGTATCAGTGTAGGTCCTTACCTGCTCAACAAGTTATGGGCTTAGAGGTGCGTTAAGCACTGAGAAAAGAAGTGATTTGCCTACATTCACATGGCCAATATGTATCAGACACAAGAACTTAATCAAGGTTTTCCTGCTCCTGAATCTTGCTCTCTAGCCAATTCGCCTTGCAGCCTCTCAGGGCATCAGAGATTATTTCAAATTACTACTTATCACTTCTTCAAGTTAGGTCTTAGAACGTGGCCAAAAGAAGGAAAAATCTTAACCTGCAAATATTCAAGTAGATATAGTGCCCCAATGTATGTTTGTTAGATTTTTGTTACAGCTATCACGACAGTATGAGGCACTGAAATCATATGAAGTAGGAGATATATACTGGCCCCACAGTCAGGAATATCCAGCTTCAAGTTCTGACTGTGAAACACACTGGTTCTGTGACCCTGGGCAAGTCACTTCTCATCTCAACACTCCAGTCAACTAGTTCTCTAAGACTTTAAGTTGCAGAACAATTGCTGATGTGCAAAGGTGAAGGGAAGTTCCTTATTTATGAGTTCTCTACACCAATGAGGTCCCACGTCTAGACCAAAACAAAATGAAATATACTAGCATAAAATGCTTTGAACGTTATTGTCATTTGCACCTCACAACAAAGGTAGGTAGCATAAGTATTTTTATCCCTAATATATAGTTCAGAAACTGAGACTCATACACATTTAAATGAATTCCACAAAGTTACACAGGTAGGACTACTCGAATCAAGAAAAAAAAAATCAGTTCCCTTGATAGTTTAGTATTCTTTTCACTATATTCATTTAATGTTTTAAAAATCAACAATATGTGCCATTTACACTTACATACATTCTTATGAGCCTAGATGATCTCTACCATACTCATTGCCTTATTCGATTTGCTATAATTTATTCTAATTAAAAAATAATGAATGTACAACCCTTCAGTATTTTTATAACAAGAAATTCTGAATTTAAGTATTGTTTAGAATAGCATGCCATACTAACCTATTTCTCCTTGGAGTTCTTGACCCATTTGTATTGTTTTTCCTCCTTTTAACTTGCATTTAAGTTGTTTTGGTTCATCAGGCAGCGGTCTGAAATTAGTTCACAAATTATGAAACTTTCCTTAAGTCATGAATCAAAGGAAATTTTTAGAAATTTACATTGACCTATCAAAGATAGCAGGCAGCAAGGTAGCACAGTGGATAGAGTGTCAGCCCTGGAATCTGAAAAAAATCATCTTCATGAGTTCAAATCTGGCCTGAGACATCTCACCCTATTTTTCTGAGTTCCTCATCTGGAAAATGAGGTGGAGAAGGAAATGGCAAACCACTCCAGTATCTCTGCCAAGAAAACCTCAAATAGGGTCATGAAGAGTTGAACAAGACTGAAAAAACGACTTAACATCAATAAATCAATGACATCCCCTCCCCAACTCAAATAAGTACATACAGGTATAAACCCAGAAGTAAGTAAAAAAGGAATCTGCCTAGAAAACTTACAAGGATCCAAAACTTTATCACTATGGGTTTTCCTTGCACTGGTACAGACTGGACTCCTCCTTTTTTCATCTTGGAAATGTGTGAAATTGCTCCTTACCTCTCCTCATTAGCTTCCTTCAAGGCTCAAACAAGATGCCACCTCCTACAAGAAGCCTACCCTGATGCCCACACTTGTGAGAGACCTTTCTCTATTCAAATAATCAAAACTATATTTATTTATCTGTATAAATAGTATATTCTCCCTGTAGAATTTAAGCTCCTTGTGGACACAGATAATTTTTTGTTTTATCTGTCCCTGTATTCCAGTGTTTTGTGAAAAAGTACTTACATTTCATAAATGTTTCTTCAACGCAATTGAATAAATTCCCTTAAATCACTGAATCTCAAAATTAGAACAGATTTCAGAGGCCAACTAGTTCAAGCCATACCTGAACAAATAATCCAACCTCTACCAAGTATCTAACAAGTGATTATCCAGCCTCCACATCCTGTGAGGGGAAAACTCATATCTTCTAAGGCGCCTAGCACACTTTTGGATAGCTGTAAATATTAGGATTTTTTCCTTTCATCAAATCTAAATTTGATGCTTTGAAACTTCCATGGGCAGCTAGGTGGCACAGTGGATAGAACACTGGCCCTGAAGTCAGGAGGACTTGAGCTCAAATCCGGCCTCAGACCAAACACTTGACACTTACTAGCTATGAGACCCTGGGCAAGTCACTTAACCCCAACTGCCTTTAAAAAAAAAAAAAAAGAAACTTCCATCCAGTGCTTGTAATTCTATTCTCCAAAGCTAAGAAGAACAAGTCTACTCTTTCATGCTGACAGTCATCAAGGCCTTGAATACCTATGTCCACCCCACCCCCCCCGCCAGTTTTCCCTTCACAAGGTTAAACACCAGTTATTTCAATTAATTCTCACTTGAAAGTAAACTTATTGTTTTCGGGTTATATCCTCTGAACTTCATGTACTACCTTGTATTTACATTAAGTGTTTAAAAAATACTGCCATACAAAGAATTGGAAACTGAGAGGATGCCCATCAATTGGGGAATGGCTGAACAAGTTGTGGTATATGAATGTAATGGAATACTATTTTACTACAAGAAATAATGAAGCAGCTGACTTTAGAAAAACCTGGAAAGACTCCTATTGGTTCTAATTCTTACTTACAACATCACTAATGTGGAAATACATTTAATAGGAATGTATATGTATAGCCTGTTATCAGACTGTGCACAGTCTTGGGGAGGGAGGTGAGGACGGAGGGGGAGAAAAATTTAAAATTCAAAAGCCTATGGAAGTGATTGCTGATAATTCAAAATAAATTAATTAAAAAAAAATACTGCCATATACTGAACCGAATATAGCACAATCTGAGAGCCCTTCATCTTCCTGATCACACTCGTCTGAATGCTCATGAACTTATTGGCATTTTTTCTAAAATGTATTATCCAGAACTGAATTTTAGATGTGGTCTGAACAAATTAGAGTATGGTGGAACTCTTAACATTCTTCATCTCAAACACATAATGAAGTCTGTTACTTTAGTAGCTTTCTTGCCTCTCTTGTCATACTGTTGACTCACACTGAGCTTGCAATCTAGTACAATTTAACACTTTATAGAAACCAGAATAGTATCAGACTGTACAACTTGTCATCTTTCACTGTCATCTCACAAATAGCCTATCACTTTTTCTAGTTATCTATGTGCCTGGTGTCTTTTATGATATTTTTTACACATAAATAAATCATCATGGATTAAGTAAGGCTGATTATGCTCATCATTTTTCTTTCCATTGCCCTTTGAAACTTTGATTCCACTGAAATCATAGTGTTCAAGGACTTAAAGCTATACAGCATGGTTGGGAAGAATATGAGGTGGGTAGGGCTTTAGGCTGCTCTCCTAATGCCTCAAACTAAAAAGCTGTTTTGAGTTTGGTAATCTCTTCTCCATTTCGTCTTTCTAAAGGAATAATGCAGAACAGCTGCTCACTCCTCATAGCTGCCTTTGGGTCTGATTTTGACTACCCAACAGACATATTCTACTCTGTTGACTTTTCTGTTACAATACAATTTTCTCTCTTCTGTACACTTTTATTTTGGCTCATCTTTTCTGCGATTCTCACCTACAATGCTGGTATGAGATCAACAGTCTCTCCCAAGAAGGTAGGGACAACCACTGCTAAGGAGAATGTCACTGCTAACATTGCCAACAGGGTCTTCATATCAGCCCTAGGTTCTGACAAGGGCTGGAGACCTCCTCAGGAGAGAATCCATTCAGCTACCATTGGTATAGGCAAGGTATCCCATTAAAAAATCATAATGAAGGGCAATCTGTTCATGCACATGGCTGAGAAAGAAGGAAGAAACACTGGTACTACCACAGACATTGATGATCAGGTCTTGGACAAAGTCACAGACACTCATGACAACTGTGCTGAAGACAATGAAGTGGTTGTGTCATCCAAGATTAGAGGTCTCCTTTGCCACATGACATTCCTGTATTCACCAACACAAGGACTGTGAGAGAGGTCAGAAGAATGAAATGGCTACCATGGACTGCCTATTATTAGTACCCTCTTTCACTACATTACCATCCTGACTGTCACTACCATCTGCCCTGCTCTGATCAAGTAAGCTTTCTAATGAACAAATAAATTTTCCCTTATCCCATGGCAAGCAAATACCCACTTCCTGCACTGTAATTCTTGAGATTCAGAGCTGCTGTTTACAAGGCAGAAATGACCCACCTATACTACCTCTCCCAAAACTCTCCTCTTCTATTGTAGCTGAATCACATCTTCAATACTGGAACAGCCTGTTGGTTGGTATCCCTGCTTATAAGTCCTACCTCATATTTAAATCCATCCTCCAACTAAGGTGGATTTTCCTAAAGCATAGATGTAACCTTCAATTAACTGCAGTGGTTCCCTATTTCCTCCAGGATAAAGTAAAAAACCTTCTGTTAGGTTTTTAAAGACCTTCCTATCTTTCCAATATTGTTACACCTTATTCCCCTACATGTATTATACAATCCAGTGACAATGACCTCACCACCATTCCTTGTACATAATACTCCATTTCTGGACTCCATGTTGTCTCTCATGAAGAGGTGGTCTTACTCCTTACCAAGGCAAACCTTTACCTCCTCAAGCAATTTCACTCCATCTCACCTCCTCCAACTGACTGCTCCGCTCTGTCATTCCTACTCTATCACTTATTTTCAATCTCTTCGTGGCAACTGGCTCCTCCTCTATTGCCTACAAATCTTGCAATTAGGCTATTCTGTTACTCAATGTCTCCAAGCTTTGGAGCTTTGTCTCAAAACCCTCATTTGATCCTTCCAGGCCCACTATCACCCTGTATCTCTTCCTTTTGTGACTATATTTCTTGAAAAGGCCTTCAACAATAGGTGCCTTCATTTTCTTTCCTATTCTTTTTACAATCTAGCTTCTGAACTTATCATTCCATCAAAACTGCTATCTCCAAAGTTACCAATAATCCCGTAAGTAACAAAACCAATGGCTTCTTCTCGATCTTCATTTTCTTCAACCTCTCTGCAGCTTCAGAAACTATGGACTGCCATATTTTCCTTGATACTCTCTTCTCTCTAGGTTTTCTGGGCACCAGTCCCTCCTAGTTCTCTACCTATCTCACTACTCCTCGGTCTCCTTTGCTGGATCTTCATTTCAATGCTTAGCATGGGTGCCTAGAACACAGTAGGTAAATGTTTATTGACTGACTGATAGATCACAGCTGCTAACCTTAGATGTTCCTCAGGGTTTTGTCCTAGGCCTTCCTTTTTCCTCTATTATTTCACTTGGTTGACCTCATCAGTTCCATGGATTTAATTGCCATCTCTATACTGATGATTCTCAAATCTACTTATCCTGTCCCAAACTGGCATCACCAACTGCCTTTCAGAAATCTCAAACTGGATGTCCAACAGACATCTTAAATTCAACCTGTCCAAAATAGAATTCCATATCCAGCTCTCTCCCCTCCAGCTCCCCCCACCCCAGCCCTCTCCACTTCCTATCTTCTCTCAGGATTTCAACCTAAGAGTCATCAGCATTTTCTCCTCACTATCTCTTCCCTCCTACCCCTCCAATCCAATCTGTTGACAAAGCCTGTCAATTTCACCTTTGCAACATCTCTCAAATACACCCTCTTCTCTCCTCTAACACTGTCACCATTCTGGCTAGGCCTTTATCATCTCATGCTTGGGACTACTGCAGTAGCCTGATGTTGGTTCTATCTGCCTCAAGTCTCTCCCTACTCCAGTCCCTCTTTCATTCAGCCACAGAAGTGATTCCTCTAAAGCACAGCTACAATCATTCACTCTTCTACACAATAAACTCTGCTATCGAATACAAAATCCTGTTTGGGGTTCAAAGCCCTTCATAACCTAGCCTCTTCCTACTTATTTACCAGCCTGCAATCACATACTCTTTGATCTAACGAGACTGGCCTGCTGGCTGTTCCATCAACAAGACATACCATCTCTGGGTTACAGACATTCTTACTGGCTATCACCCATGCCTGGAATGTACTCACTCCTCATCTCTCTGCCTACTAGCTTCCCTGGCTTCTTTTAAGTCCCAACTAAAAATCTCATCTTCTACAAGCAGCCTTTCCCAACCCATCTCAATTCTACTGATTTCATTCTTTTAATTACTTCCTACCTATCTTTTATATAGCTTGTTTGTACCCATCTGTTTGCCCATCTACTCCCACACTTTGACTATGAGTTCCTTGAGGGTTGACACTGTCTTTTATATTTTTTTTGTACACTTACAACTTTTGCACAATACAATACTTAGCACAGCACCTGGCCCATAGCAGGCACTTAATAAATATTTATTGACTGACATACTATTCATTGGTTACTGGCTTTCCTCCATGCCTGCGATTGTCTCATACCACATCTCTGCCTTTTAGCTTTGCTGGCTTTCTTCAAGTCTTAGCTAAAGTTCAACCTTCTTCAAGAAGGCTTTCTCAATCCTTCTTAATTTTAGTATCTTCCTTAAGACTCCCTCCAATATATCCTGTTTCTATCATGTTTGTACATAGTCTTCTACCTGCTGTCTTCCCTTTTAGACTATAAGATCCTATAGAACAGGGACTGGTTTTTTCCTTTCTTTGAATCAAAAGGGCTTAGCACAGCTCCTGGCATATCAGGCATTTAAGAAAAGCTAGTTGAGGGCAGCTAGGTGGCATAGTGGATACAGCACCAGCCCTGGAGTCAGGGGCAGCGGAGTTCAATTCTGGACACTTGACAATGACTAGCTGTGTGACCCTGGGCAGGTCACTTAACCACATTGCTTAGTAAAAGAAAAGAAAAGAAAAGCTAGTTGATTGAATGATTGATTTCTCTGCCACCTTCTACAATACCTCTTCCTTCTATCTCTCGTGTTCCTCCTATCTGAAACATACTCTACCAAGACCAAGAATTAAAATTTATTCCTTGCTTCCCTATTACCATTTTCAGATGTTTGTTCTACCACCATCTACTGTAATATTCTCCTATCTGATCTTCTTGCCTGATATGTCTACTACTTCTAATCAATCCTTCTAAGGCCAAAATAATCATCCTATGGTAAACGTCTGACCATTATGAGTTACTGCCTCAAAAGACATGACTTGTCAGTAATGCCCTTGAGATGAAATACAAACTACTCAGATTTGTACTTATTACCCTCTACAATATGGCTCCAATCTTTCTTCACATTACTCCCATTCACATATTCTATTTTTTAGCTTAACTGAACTATATCCTCCTCTTCCCTGAGCTCAAAAACCTATTCCAACTTCCAAGTATTCACACATTTCTCATCTCCATACCAGCTTAAGCACCTAGAATATAATCCTTCCTTTCTTCCACCTTTAAAAATTCCCTCTTCCCGCCCCCAAAAAATATTCCCCCTATCATTCCAGATGCTTTATGTATCAAAATTGTTGTTTTCTTTCTCCTCCAACACTTAACAAAGTATATTGTTTAAATGTTCTTTTTTATTCTCATCATTTCCTACTTTCAGGTAAATTTCTCTTTGTAGATTCTGTATTTTTGTCCATTACAATGTAAGCCCCTAGAAGGTAAGGACTTACTAATTTTGTTTAAACTTTGGTAATATCAAGATTTGCTTTTTTTTTTTTGTTAATAACGTTAGAAGTCCATGTTCCAAACATGGTTTATTATAATACCTTGGAAATAAAGTCTTCCTAACTTATTAGATACTATATGACTTTCCAAAATTACTTTTCAAAAAATTTTCCAGAAAAGCTCTAAAAGTAACCCACTGTATTCTATGTCAACTGATACATTATTTTTACTATGTACATTTTAAATATATTTTAGTACAAATAGGAGTATATATTAAAAATAAAGAACAAATCTTTTTTTCACCATTTTAAAAAATGCTAATTTAAAAATACTTGAAAAACAGACAAACCCACAGACCTTACAGTAAATGCACTCTCCAATGACACATGATCATCTTGAAATGAAACCTGGCAATATCTCATATCTTTCACAGATGTTGGTACTTGTACATCAGGTAGCAAACCCTGCAGTAAATGTTCCTTATTAATCTCAGGTGTCCAATTAACCTAGGACGGAAAAATACACATCTGTGTAGGTTATGTGGAAAGACAAGATACATATGCACGTACAACTGTTATATTCCTGGAGATATAGCTTAAGCAGAATTCCGAGAGAGGAAACCTAGACATGCAGTATAGTGGAAATAACTGAACTTTCAGTCATAAAAACTATTAAACCCTAAGATTAAGAATTTGCAGGAAATCCTTTTACTCTTCTTTCAACAACTGATGTCTCACATGATATCATGCATATATTAAGTACTTAACAAATGTTTGTTGTACTGAAAGGCAATTCTAACTATGCCACATTGAACAAACTAATAAAGATCTATAAGAGATATCTGTAAAATGTGAATTATAATATTTACATAGCCAACAATGATTGTTGCAAAGATATGAGGTAACATAATTTACATAAAGTACTGAGTAGCAAAGAACTTCAAATAAAGTAGATGCCTTGTTGACTGGGAAAGGGCTATAATAATGGTAAGATTTAAATATAATAGAATATTACTATACTACAAGAAACAATGAATATGAAAGAAAATAAGAAAAAATATGAGAAGTCTGAAATGAGCTGAGGCAAAGTGAAATAAGCAGAACCAGGAAAATTATATACACTATGACAGTAAGGTAAATAGAAAGAACCACATTATGACCAAACCTAGCCTAAAGAAGAGATGACAAATGTAAATAAGAGATGAAAAATTCCTCACTTCTTCTCAGAGGAGGAAAACTATGGTTATAAACACTGTATATATTGACAAAATCACCTGATGTGCCAGTTAGTTTTGTTGAACTACTTTTTTCTCCTTTAAAAAAAAAATTACACGAACAACGAGGTGGAGCAGTAGATAGAGCTCTGGCCTTGGAGTCAGGAGAACCTGAGTTCAAATCTGGCCTCAGACATTTGAAACTTCCTAACTGTATCGCCCTGGTCAAGTCACTTAATCCTGACTGCCTCACCAAAAAAATAAAATAAATTTTAAAAAATGAAAAAAATTATAGTTACAAGCGTTAGAAGATGGGAAAGGGAGAAAAATGTATTTGGAAATAAAGGTGATGTAAAAATGAAACAAAAAAAATCAATAAATATTTTGTAAAATGGAAAATATAAAGTACTCATTAACAGATTAGTAATGGTGGTAACCAGCAAACACCAAACCACTCTTTACTATTCTCTGGAAAATGATTTTGTATTTTCTTCACTATCACTGTCCTATAAAGTCTCATCAAACGCAAATGCAATCAGTGAAATATGTTGGGTATGCCTGTATTAATCAAATATGTCTACATCCCTCAAGTACCCTGGATACAGAGATACCATAAAAGAAAAAAAAAAAAGAGTGCTAACTAAATGACCATTTAAGAAGAAATCCATTTAATTGTGTTCAGAAAATTGGTTTAGGTCACTGGTATCCTAAACTGAAGTATGCATAAACATGCTCATATGGACAAATACATCCAAGGTAATAGGATTAGAAAAACTTAGGTTACATTTGTCAAAAATGAACTTCTTTTGTAGCTGAAAGAAATTTAAAACATGTTCTAGGTACAAAGGCAGACATTTGCTACCCTAAATATTTAGGAAAAGGGTAGCATGAAATTGAGCTCTACAACTTTGCATTACTCAGAAAAATCAAGGCAACATACTAATAATCACTAAGCATATATTTTAAACAAATCACATTTTTTGAAGACATTTCTCATAAACCATCCATCAACCCCCTTTTCTTCAACTTCTTACAAGTCACAGGGTCCAAAACATAAAAAACTCAACTACTATTTGTCTATGATAATATAGTTACCTGGAAATTGCTATAATAACAATTCTCTTGCTTTTCTTCTTGTTTTTTTCCCCCATTTCTTTGAGTCTGGATCTCCTGAACTGACCCAGTCTCTAAGAGTAGTGGACACTCACAGACCTGAGATACCATTGCTGATTAGCATGGAAGCTTTGACCGTCAAGTTTCTTAGTATAATTGTTCTTTCTTCACTCACACTACACACCCTACTCAACCTCAGGAGTTCACCATACTGATGCTGGACTAAGTGTAACCACCAAATCAGTTTCCGTTGGCCGTACTAGAACTCAAATGATCCACCTGTTTCATCATCCCATGTGCTACCACAACCAGTAACAATATTACATTAGGAAATAAAGAAACTAATAAAAGGCAAAATGCAAATAAATAAGATTATGTTAAAAGTATCAAATTACAATTCGACTAAGAATTTCTGGTAAATTATATAACCAAATAGCCTAATGACAAAATTCACAAATAGCCTTTTCCTCAAATTTGTTTTTAAAGCTACATCTGAACTGGAATTTTATTTGGTACCAATTTTGTTCCCAATAAGATAGTATATCACTGATTGTAAAGAGACTCTATCTTAAGTGTTTGTAGTAACTGTAACTTTTTTGGGATAACTTACCTTAATATAACTGAGACTTACCTTAATTTTTTCAGCTAATGCAGCTGTTATAATAATTTCTCTTTCTCCTTCATCATACATTTGGAAGATGAGATTATGCATGACATCTCCAGCTATCCAGTTGATCTCATCCTGGTGTTTGATCTGAATTGCCTTCTGTCCTTCTACACTGAATATCTGCAGTTTTGCAACATGGCTACTGGGGAGTAATCTAATAGTCTTCTCTACAGCTGGCACATCTTTACAACTCTAGCAGGAAAAAATAATTAAAGCACAAAACTGATTAACAGCTGACCATTCTATGAAAGAATATTTCCTTCTAACTTTTAATTCACTTGAAAAAACTACTTTCTTCATCAACATTATAAATCTGATGTATAGCATTTTACAATTTCCTTTTACTACTTTGAAATTTTTTGTTTCACATTTTAATTTAATCAACACCAAAATGTAACATTTCCATATACAAAGCAGAACATTAGCAGAAAAAGAGTATTATACATAAAGTGTACTCTACAATGTATAGCTTTCTTAAAAAAAAAAAAACTATAATAAATCCAACATGTAACTTTCAAATCCATCCTGCTTTGTGCTCCCTTTAGTTCTTTTCTGGTATTTTAAAAAATGGTTCACTAACCATCTTTCTTTTGTTTTTCTGTTTTACATTTTTTTACATTTCAAAGCACCTTAATTATCTCATTTATCTTATTTGACCATATAAACTTCTCTTCTAAAAAAAACCCTGCAATACCTCAAAACACCACCCCAAGAAAGTCTAAACTTATTAAGCTTTTCTCAAATCTGTCTCCTCTTCACCCTTTCCCAACCTCATAATCCATTATTCTCCCTAGAGCCCAAGTTCTTAACCTGGAGTCAGGAAATTTATTTTTAAAAATATTTTTATAACTATTTTAATATAACTGATTTTCCTTGTAACTTTCCATATTTAATTTTTTAATTTAAAATGTAATTCTGAGAAAGAGTTCAGAGGCTTCCCCAGACTGGCCAAGGTGAAAAATATACACAAAAGATCAAGAACGAAAGGTTAAGCCCTAAAAGAACCCACTACTCTACATAAAATGATCTACTGGTTGCATCTAAATAAACTTCTGATCACTATTCCTTCCTCAAGTAATTTTGTTTATAAAATTCCCTTCCAGTTCCAATTCCCACTCCTCTTTTGTTTGTCTAAACCTATTTATAATAGTATTGTACCTCAAAACCCAGAACAGTACTCCGCACACAGGAGGTGATCAATAAATCAAGAGTAATCATTACCAAAAAGAAAATCACCTAAAAAGTGAAAAGATTTGTTATTTAATGGTAGATACTATCTGATTTCCACCTAACTTGCCAATTATGCCTTGCTGGGGAGTATGGGGAAAATAGGAACATAGATTTAGAAATGGAATGGGACATTAAAAATCATCTAGTGCAAATTCCTCATTTTATAAGTGAGATAACCAAGACCCACAGAGATTAAGATATGCCCAAGTAGCAGGAGTAACAGAGAAACGAATGCCAGGATTAGAACACAAGCTTTCTAATCTTCAATCCAACCAGTGTGTAACAGTACAGAATATTGGATTTGAATTCTTTCTTGAAACCCAAGAAGATATGGGCTCAAACCAACCTCTGGCAATTTCTACCTGCAGTGACTGAGCAAGTAACTTAACCAACTAGAGAGACATTTTCCTTGTGGGAAATGGTTATGCTGAATTTAATTCAATTTCCCCCCAACATGATACTGGCCTTATCCAAAAAAAGTGGCACTGAGTTTACCCCCTGAGTTCAGCATTACCTTTTTTCGACACAGTCAATACCATATTTCACTTCCTATGCATACTTATTACAACCGTTTTGTTTTTCTTTTGTTTTCCCAAAGGGGGGTGGGGGAGGGAGAGGAGGAATGAAGGGGTGGATAGAACGGAGAGAAAATATACTCCTGTTAACTGGAGAAAAAAAAGAAATTAAATTAAAAAAAATTTTTTTTTAATTTTGTAAACTTCAAAGCACTATACAAATTTAAAGTTATTATTATCATACACTAGACTGCCATTTCCTGTAATTAGTGTGGGGGGGAACTGAATTAAATTCAACATAACCATTTATTAAACACCTACTTTGTGCAAAGTACTGTGGGATAGAAAGATGACTGGGACATTTTCTTTATTAAAGGAGTTTACAACCTAACTGTACAGCTGATAGATATAAAAACAGGATATAAATGCATATGAAGGAGAAACAATGATGGTAGGGGAAAGGGGGAGGAGGAAGAGGAGAGAAGAGATCAAGAAGCAGCAATTACTTCTGGTTTAACAGTTATTTCATTAACAAATAAATCAATCAAACATTTATTAAGCGACTACTATGTGTCAGGATTATGCTAAGTGCTTGGGGATACAAAGACAAAAACAAAAGTAACTGGCCTCACAGAACTTACATCCTAAAGGAGAAAACACACAAAAAAATTATAAATAAGATACATTCAAAATTCAAAGTAAACTTGGAGAAGACACTAGTAGGTTAGAGGACCAAGAAAGGGCTCCTGATAGTGACTGCTCTTGAGCTGAGTAGTGAAGGAAACCAGAGGAGGAAAGAAGGGAAGGAGGGAAGGAAAACATTCAAGGAATGAGGAAGAGAGTGCAAAGGGACAGAGATGGGAGGAGGGGGAAGGGAATAAGCATTTGTTATGTACTTACTATATGCCAAGCACTGTACTCAGCACTTTCTAAATACTCTCAATGGATACATGACAACCCTGCTGAGGTATATGCAATTATGTTCCCCATTTTACAGTTGCGGAAAATGAGGCAGATAGAGGTTAAGCAATTTCTCCAGGGTCACTAAGTTAGTAAATGTCTGGGGCCACATCTGAACTCAGGTCTTTATGATTCCACCCCAGTACTCTGCCCACTGCATCATTTAGCAGCCTCTAAAAGGAAGATAAGTATGATAGGTTAAGTATGGCTGAACCATAGTGTGTGTGTGAAGGAAAATGACAGACTGGAAAGGTAGAGTCTTAGGCTATAAAGAGCTTTAAATTAAAAACAGCATTTATAAACCTAGAGGTAAAATGGGGCCACTGGAATTACAGCCAGCTTGGGCCTGGGGTGGGTGGGTGTGTAGGGTATCAGTCTGATATGGTCAAATCTGTGCTTTCAGGAAAATCATTTTGGTGGTTAGATAAAAGAAAGATAGGAGTAGGAAGAGACTATGAGTAGGGAGACCAATTAGAAGGTTATTGCAATAATAAAGAGAAAATGCGATGAGGATCTGAAATACAGTGGTGGATCACTGAAGAAGAAAAAGGAGATATTTAGGGAATGTTGTAGAAGACTAAACAAAAAGACTGAGTAACTGAAGAGGAAGACATCAGGGTTAAGAACCTAATGTGAAGTGATGAGGATGGGATCTAGACCTCAAAAAGGAAAAATCCTGAACTTTCCCACATGGCCAATCTCTGGTGTTCCTCTGAGGCTATAATCCCATCAACTAACTAGCTTTTCATTGTGGCTATACCTAATTTCTCAATTCTGTTACGCTTAACCTAGCCTAGCCCTCCATTGTCTTACCTCCCTAGGGTACCCCCCCATCTTCCTCCCCCCATCCCCATTTCCCACCCTTAATCCTAGCTAGGCCCCATTCTTCCTTGGCCACTTGGTCCAGGTCCATGGCTTTCTATTACCTCACAGTCCCTACACACTACTTGGCTACTCCTAGATCCCTCCCATAATCTTTCATGTACATAAGGTCCATTTTGTCTCCATTAAGGTGCTCAGATTCTTATAATCTAGCCACGGCTTAGATTCTTACAATATAGCCAACAGCTCACTAACATTTAGACTCCTTAAGAGTCTGCCCAACATGACGGATGTTCTAATAAATCTCGTCTTTGGCTGAAAGAAGGCTTGAGTCAAATTCTTTTGGCTAGGATCCGTGTGTTGTGATATTGGGGTCTTAGCACCCCTGAACCTCAACATTTTGGTGGCCCATACAGGGAAACTGCCTAACGCCAAATTCTTCTCCAGCCAAGAGTGGAAGATACGTAAGCCTCCCCTATCCTCCTTTCTTGCTCTGCAGCTGGGGTTGCTCTCCAAGCACTAAGGTTTGGAAGTGCTTTTTGGGCAGACAGTTATGAGGCTCTCTTGCACTCAGCCTGACACTCTCAGGCTCTTGGTCCACTGGATCAGTTTGAGGCCATGGACCTGGATACACCTTCCGCAGCATAGAGGACAAGGACAGATGCCCTATCTGGAAGTGTATGCCCAATTCTATCAATTCTCTCAGGGCTAGGGAATTGGGGAAAACTGCAGTTGCTTTTTAGTTCCCTGAGGCTTGCTTACTCCCTTCCCTCTACACTGCTGAATCCTCCTTCATGGAGGTTACAGGGAAAAGTTAGAACAGCTAAAAATATTTTGGCAGATTCAAGAGGTTTTGTGATTCAGACTCCTTAAGAGTCTGCCCAATATGACAAATGTTCTAATAAACCTTGTCTTCGGCTGAAGGAAGGCTTGGGTGGAATTCTTTCAGGCAGGACTCACGTGTTGTGGTTTTAGGGTCCCAGCACCCCTAAACCCCTAAACCTCAACAGAAGTATATTACAAACTTCCTTTTTAGCTTCTCTAGAAATTAAAATTAAGAAATTATATTTTTTCAGCCTAAAACTACTTCCAGATTTTTCCCCTTAGGAAAGTAGGTAGAAGAAACTTTAAGGTCTTTCTTAAGGAAACTGATTAAAGAATAATCAAATTTAAGATTTACAAAGATAAAATCACTGCCTACCTCATAACTAGAGTTGATTGAAGCCATAACTCATACCTTTCAACTAAGAAAAATATCTATCCCAGAAAGGTCAGCTAATAAGCATTAATTAAATGCTTAATATGTGCCAAAGGACACAAAGAAAGGCAAAAGCCAGGACTTGTCCTCAAGGAACTCATAATGTAATCTAGGAGTGAGAGGAGTGGTCTAGGAGAAAATGAGATTGTTACCCAACTATTCTAACATTAACCCAAACTGTATTCTTACATATTATGATCTTTTTTTCCTGATCAAAATTCCTTACCTGAAACTGTCTTGGGGCAGTCATGTCTGAATGCAAGGCAGAACTATGCCACCTTAGACACCTCTGTCTCTAAGCTAGAAATGATCTGACAGTAAGTTAGCATTAAGTTAAATTGTTTCTGATAGATAAGCCTAAAAATTCAGAGTCAGTATTAGTATTATATTTTCTTCTTTGATACTAA